AAGCCAGGCTGGCAGAATTGCGCTGACCGTTCTGGATGGTTCCTAATGAGCTGACCTAGCTCAGCATCTTTCAGACTGAAGAAAATCAATAAATATTCACGAGAGGGAATGCTAACACAGGCAGAGCAAAAGTAAACACAACGCCCAGCTCCTGCTGTTTTATTTTTTTAAGTCTTCCAAAATCACGTTAAGTGAAACTCTTCGGTGAGAGGGCATATCATTTGGAAGGATAACAAAACACACCTCTCACAGATTATCTGTGTTCTTTTAGCCCCCTAATGAAAGATACATTTGAGACAGATACAAGATATATTCAATGTAGGCAGGTCAGAACAAATTTTCAGCCCCCCAAAAAATTCTGCAAAAGTGATTTGGGAAAATTATTGGCAAGGTCATGTTAAATTACTGCAGCAGTACCCGGCCCCTCCCAAGACCTAATATAACTTGACATTTAGTGACAGCACTTTATTAACTGGCCGGTCACTGGCATCGCTACTTCTAAGTGGCAATATCTCTCAGAAAATCTAAAGAACTTATTTTTTCTTTTACATATATGTAATAAATGCAATTTTGACTTTTATACATAATGAACTACATAATTTATTTGACAAATAGCCTTCGGTTTTATATTCTTCATGTGGCTTGTTGGGTAGCAAAATATTTAGTTTAACTTGGCAAATAAATTCACATATAAATATGAGCAATGTTTTTTGTCTAATCATCTAGTATTATTTTCTCAGCACCTCTCAGCAATAAGAATATCACCTAGTCCTTTTTTCTTTGCACGTTCCATGATGAAAAAATCCCGAATGTGCTAAAGAATCCATTGCCTGCTTATGAAACATAAAGGCTTATGAAAACATGGCACGTACTCAAGTAGACCAGTTTGTTTTAAAACATTTTAATAGTGTGCACTGCTTCGTTAGGAACTAAACGTGTATTATGCCCAGTCTTACATCCAGTGTGTACTATACTTTGATCGTTCTATCAAAAGATCAAAATTTAAATATCATGTAAATTATATTTTGTACATGTCCTCTTTTGCATGAAATCAAACAGAATACTTGTTTCTTCTCTAAACACATGAGAATATAAACAAGAAACATATTTAAACCAAAGAAATACTACTTCATTCCATTAAAAAATGCCCTCAGGTCTCAATTAAAGTAATAAGCCTTTATGTTTTCTTAAAATAATTCTAAATATCTATGTTCATGCTTTCAAATTTTTAATCATATTTTTAATATTTATCTTAAAGGTTCTTAAGTTAATTGGGCATGTTATTTTCAAGGGAAATGCTACTTAAATCCTCTTCCTGAAAACTCTGAGAGTTATGCAACTCAATAGAAATGACAGCAGTAATTGAGTAATTGATATTGAATCTCCAATAACCAAGAAAATTGTCACCTTCGTAACAATTAAATGTAAAGTATGAAACTTGACTGGATCCTGGTTTTAAAAAAAAGCAGCTATGAAAGACATTCTTAGGACAGCGTGGGAAATGTGAACATGGACAGTATATTAGATGTTATCATGAAATTTTTGTTAATTTACTTATTGTGATAATGGCTCTGTGATTCTTTAAGAAAATGTCCTAGTCTTAGTGCATGCATGACGCAGTTTTTAGGGATAAAATGTCATGATATATGAAACTGACTTGATGTATAAAACTGACAAATGGCCCAACAATAATAAAAATATTTGTACGCATAATTAGATAGATAAAAATATATAGCAAATATGGCAAATGTTGATAATAGGGTTGTATCTCAGCGGAGGGTATACGGAGGTTCACTGTATCATTCTTTCAACCATTTTGTATGTATGAAAATTTTCCCAATAAAAAATGACAGAGGAAAAGAATAATCGTTTTCATTTATGTATATTGACTCCTGAACCAAAGTACATACAGATAAAATATGGCCTTACACGGACAGCGAATGTTTCATTTTCCGGTAGCAGCATACATTAGAGAATCAATTTTCCACCATTGACCCAGAGAAATTATAGCAGCACTCTGACCACAACAACAGGGAACAGCTGATTGACACACCACCTGAATCACAGCAGATGCGTCAGAATGCCCAGAGGGTAATCCACGCTGACCAGCGAGTTTATGAGACAATATGTACCCTTAGAAAAATATGGGTTGAGGACAACAGGGGCCTTCAAGCCTGGAGCCTTCATGGCAGATGGAACCTGCAACTTTTTCAGCCTCCATTTTCTGGAGGTAGCTATGACATGAACTTAAAGCTAAATTAAACAAATTCAGAACATCAGCTTTCTCTACTCATTCACCCACCAAGGATGGGTTCCTGTCCTTCCCCTTTTAATCTGCCCAATAAAGTGGACTACCAGGTTCAATATTAAGCAAAAATTCTGAAGAGCTACCCCCAAAAACTGACTTAAAACTAATAATAAAGTATTGGAATCATATAAGAAATTTTATTTTATTTTATTTTATTTTTCTTTTTTTTACTGACCGGTAACGGGATCGTAACCCTCGGTGTCGCGCCCGTACCGGGGACCAGCAACGGGATCACAACCCTCGGTGTTGCGCCCGCACCGCGCTCAGCCAGTGAGCGGGAACCGGTCTCCACATGGGATCCGAACCCTCGGCAGGAGCGCCACTGCGCTCCCAAGTGGCGCACTCTCCAGTGCACCACCGGGCCGGCCCCATATTAGAAATTTTAGAGAGAAAATCTGTAAACACTTGATTTAAGATCCCTAAAGTATTGATAATAAGACCCAGACCTGGAGCTGGCTGTTTAGCTTACTTGGTTAAAGCATGGTGTTGGTAACACCAAGGTCAACGGTTCGGATCCCCATACCGGCCAGCCACCAAAAAATATATGTATGTATATATATGTTTGTATATTTATATACATGAAGACTCAGACCTATAAAACAATACAGCAAGATGTTTCCCATTTATAAATAGAGCTCTTTGTTTTGGGGTCTAAATATCCATGTTTCTGGGCACTATTGAGATCACTATTCACCAGTTAAGTGAGAGTACAAGCCAGCCCTTCCTGACCCATCTGCGACTGGCTGCAGAATCTGATATTCTTTTTTAATTGGACTGAACTAAAACTAAGCAGAAAGCACCGAATTTTCAAGAGGCCCAATACAATCCCCAACTCCATGTCAATTGCTCCTTTTTCTGTCCTTCTCTTTTTATCATTTTTTTCCTCCCGCGTTCAATTCTTTATCTACTAATTGATTGGTCGTTGTTTCTATAATTGTTATTCTCTCCTTTTCTTTTTCTCTCTTTCCTCTTCCCCTCCCAGGCCCTCCTACCAGGGGCACCCAAAGGCCTTGTTACCGCTCCAGGCCATGGAGCTGTAATGAACCCTGATATGGCCCATAAAGCCTGATGGACTCAGGCTGCTGCAGGCTGTAACAGTTACAAGAAGAATGGTTTACTTTCCTTTAACCAAAAAACAATTATCATGTTTATGAGATGTCCAGGCCCTTTCCCTTCTCCTCACTGCCACCTGCCTTTGATCCTTAACCAGTCATTTCGACTTCTCTTTAACAGAAGCAGGAGACCATGACGCTGAAACCTCGGTTTGCTTCATGTTATCCCAATACGAGGCATGGCCTAGGAGGGCTGAAAACATCAGTAAGTTTGGGGCGTATCAGTGGACTTCACTTATCCAAGAAAGTCCTGAATTCTGTTCAATGCCCCCATTTTCTGACTGCTTGAAAACTTTCTGGTCTGTCTGTAAGCACTAATTTAGGACCTGAAGGAAACACAAAGAGAATTTAAAATGTTTAAAAACATTTCCCCAGTCGAATTTTAAAAAGCTCTTCCTAGAGAGGTATGAGCACATTATGTCTGTTTACCAAAAATGTACTAGGATAACGTATTCTCAGTAGATGCTGAAACACGAATGAACCAAGAGCCTTCCACCTCCAGGAGACCTGGATGAACCTGCTTCAAAAACTCTATGGAGGATGAAGCTCTGGTAATAATCCAGCCAAAAGGCCAGGGGTCCAGAGGTGACCTCTGTGGCCTCTAGGCCAGACTGGCCCTGCAGGGAGACTGGGAAGAAGGTTCAACCATCAGGGCCATGAGCCCCCAGTAGAGCACAGTCTGGGGTGAGGAATGCTCACAGGAGTGGAGAAACACATGCCCAGAGTAGCAGGGTAGTCCCGTGCAAACACTGGCCAGTGTTGACCCACCTGCAGCCTCCAGGAGTGATCAAACCCGTTCCCCAGGCTGAGGCTCTCAAGGCCTCCCTTTCTTTGTCTGTCACACAGGGGTAATAAGAGTGCCCCCTAACTCATAGGGTCATTGTAAAGATTAAATGAGCGAGTACTCATAAAGCGCTTAGAAAAGGGCCTGATATACAGCAAGTGCTATATAAATGCTAGCTAGCTACTAGTATAGGCTAGAAGCCTGCTTACCGAAAAGTCTGCCAAAGGAAGCTTACCTTCTTTAATCTCCACCTACTATTAACCAGCAGGAAGTACCCAGTCTACTACAATAGATCTACCACAACGGACCTACTACTAACCAACTGAGAATACTCATGTCTTGATTTTTTGGTTCCCTAACCCCTGGATCTTTGCAGTGGTCTCAGCTAAGACCAAGTGAACAAGACTCCTTTCCTTAGCAACTAGGTTCAGATATAAAACTGCAGTATGACAACATCCTATGATTAAAATAAAAATTGGTATATGATTAAAATGGAAATCTACCTGACATGAACTTCAGAGCCCACACTTTCTCAGTGTGTAAGTTCAACAGCTTCTAATAAATGTCCCTAACTCTGCAACGCTGTGAACCTTAAAAACTAACCTGGTTGAAGACACACAAATTACCCTACACATTAGTAAGATATAAATGCCCTTCAACAAGGAGGACTGCCCCAGACATAATTGGCCAGTGCCCCACCTGGCGACACCATGAGTCAATTCTTCAGAACAGGAAGGTCCACTGACTGGGCCCTGATGCCAGGGCCACACCTGGCATGCAGGTTGACAATACTTACGCATTACAATAGGGCTTCTTTTCATAGCCTTTGTAGTTGTTCATGTTGAGAGCCATCTTGCAGACCTCACAATGGAAACATCCTTTATGCCAATACTGGAAAACATAAATATTTAAAATTTTAGTACAATGCCAGTCTTTGCTAGGATGGACACAGAAGGAAAGCTTTTTAGTGCATCATAGTCCCTGTATTTGAAAATACTACAAAAAAATGATTGTAGGTAACAGTGGATGGGTTTACCTACTTTCAGTTAAGTAAATAAAGCACAGAGCTATTAAAATTGAGTTTTAAATTAACCCTCTCCACAACGTACAGACTCGTGATGAAAGAACCGCCGAGGCTCTGTCCGTACTGCACTTCTATGAGCAGCCAGAATGGAATTCTGAGCTTGGTTAATGGAGAGATGGGACCCGTAGAGTGGCTTCAAAATGTAAAGGAAGCTAGTTCAAAGTATCTAAACGCATTGTTTGTAGGATCTCGATAAATATGTGCCCACCAGAAGTCTGGCAACCCGAGGGGGCAGGAGGCGGACTATGTAAGTACCCTTAGCCCCACATCCCTGTCCAGCTTCCACCAAATAGCAGAAAACGCGGACTCTGTCCGGGATGACCGTCGGGGTGACGTCTGGCTCTAATGAGGCATTTGTATCACCAAACGCAAATTTCACAGGGAATGCTTCCAGCTGGTTTCAATTGTTAGTCACTCGGGATCGCGCCTGGGTCTCTCTCCCGGGCTGTTCAACCGCTCCACGCCCGGGAAGGGCAGAGGGCAGAGCTGGAGGGACCAGGCTACAGCCACGTCCTCCGGCATTACGCGCGCGGGTGGATCAGACACGGTGGGTCCGGGTCGCCGCGCTGAGCCCGGGCTCTCCGGCGGGGATTATTCTAGCAATGCGGCAGCGGCCGCCCCATGACATATTAATTACTACTTGCCTCTCCCCCTCGCCGGCGTCACGGGAGGCGCTGGGGCGGGGGTGAGGTGGGGATGCGAGTGCGGGCGGATCAGTGGGGCTGGGGGTGCGAGGCAGTGGGGGGGCAGGCGTGGAGGTGGGAGGGGGCGCGGCTCGCCCACTTGCCCCCGGGTGCCCCGCCTGGTCCTTCTTCTGGGCCCCGCGCCGCGCACCGCCGCGCCGGTGCCGCGCATCCCGCACCCGGACAAAAGCCTTCCCCGTTCCAACATCCCAGTCGCCCAGCGCGGACTCTGACACTCCTGCGGGCATCTCCCTTCGCGCGCCCCCCGCCCCTGTGCCAAGACCCACGCAAACACGCCGCCCCACTCAGCTCTTTCCATCCCCGGTGCCAAAACTTCTCGGAGCAGGTGCAGCCCGGCGCCCGGCAGGTTCGGGCTGGCCCGGCGCCCCCTCGCTCACCTTATCCAGGCAATTGACTTTCTCCGTGGGATACACGACTTTTCCGCAGCGGGCGCACTGGGGGTTCATTGTCGCGGTTCCCGGGGGCGGCGGCTGCTGCGGCGGCGGCGTCTGGGGGCTCCGAGGAGCCGCTGTGACATCCCCCGGCGAACCCCGCACCGCCTCCGGGCAGGCGGGAGGGCTG